GGTCAGACAGATAGCACGTGATTGGGTCAGACAGACAGCACGTGATTGGGTCAGACAGACAGCACGTGATTGGGTCAGACAGATAGCACGTGATTGGGTCAGACAGCACGTGATTGGGTCAGACAGACAGCACGTGATTGGGTCAGACAGATAGCACGTGATTGGGTCAGACAGATAGCACGTGATTGGGTCAGACAGATAGCACGTGATTGGGTCAGACAGACAGCACGTGATTGGGTCAGACAGATAGCACGTGATTGGGTCAGACAGATAGCACGTGATTGGGTCAGACAGACAGCACGTGATTGGGTCAGACAGATAGCACGTGATTGGGTCAGACAGACAGCACGTGATTGGGTCAGACAGATAGCACGTGATTGGGTCAGACAGACAGCACGTGATTGGGTCAGACAGACAGCACGTGATTGGGTCAGACAGACAGCACGTGATTGGGTCAGACAGATAGCACGTGATTGGGTCAGACAGATAGCACGTGATTGGGTCAGACAGATAGCACGTGATTGGGTCAGACAGACAGCACGTGATTGGGTCAGACAGACAGCACGTGATTGGGTCAGACAGACAGCACGTGATTGGGTCAGACAGACAGCACGTGATTGGGTCAGACAGATAGCACTTGATTGGGTCAGACAGCACGTGATTGGGTCAGACAGATAGCACGTGATTGGGTCAGACAGATAGCACGTGATTGGGTCAGACAGACAGCACGTGATTGGGTCAGACAGACAGCACGTGATTGGGTCAGACAGCACGTGATTGGGTCAGACAGCACGTGATTGGGTCAGACAGCACGTGATTGGGTCAGACAGCACGTGATTGGGTCAGACAGATAGCACGTGATTGGGTCAGACAGATAGCACGTGATTGGGTCAGACAGACAGCACGTGATTGGGTCAGACAGATAGCACGTGATTGGGTCAGACAGACAGCACGTGATTGGGTCAGACAGATAGCACGTGATTGGGTCAGACAGATAGCACGTGATTGGGTCAGACAGACAGCACGTGATTGGGTCAGACAGATAGCACGTGATTGGGTCAGACAGATAGCACTTGATTGGGTCAGACAGATAGCACGTGATTGGGTCAGACAGACAGCACGTGATTGGGTCAGACAGATAGCACGTGATTGGGTCAGACAGCACGTGATTGGGTCAGACAGACAGCACGTGATTGGGTCAGACAGACAGCACGTGATTGGGTCAGACAGATAGCACTTGATTGGGTCAGACAGATAGCACGTGATTGGGTCAGACAGATAGCACGTGATTGGGTCAGACAGACAGCACGTGATTGGGTCAGACAGATAGCACGTGATTGGGTCAGACAGACAGCACGTGATTGGGTCAGACAGCACGTGATTGGGTCAGACAGATAGCACGTGATTGGGTCAGACAGATAGCACGTGATTGGGTCAGACAGATAGCACGTGATTGGGTCAGACAGATAGCACGTGATTGGGTCAGACAGATAGCACGTGATTGGGTCAGACAGACAGCACGTGATTGGGTCAGACAGATAGCACGTGATTGGGTCAGACAGACAGCACGTGATTGGGTCAGACAGATAGCACGTGATTGGGTCAGACAGACAGCACGTGATTGGGTCAGACAGACAGCACGTGATTGGGTCAGACAGACAGCACGTGATTGGGTCAGACAGATAGCACGTGATTGGGTCAGACAGATAGCACGTGATTGGGTCAGACAGATAGCACGTGATTGGGTCAGACAGACAGCACGTGATTGGGTCAGACAGATAGCACGTGATTGGGTCAGACAGACAGCACGTGATTGGGTCAGACAGATAGCACGTGATTGGGTCAGACAGACAGCACGTGATTGGGTCAGACAGATAGCACTTGATTGGGTCAGACAGCACGTGATTGGGTCAGACAGATAGCACGTGATTGGGTCAGACAGATAGCACGTGATTGGGTCAGACAGACAGCACGTGATTGGGTCAGACAGACAGCACGTGATTGGGTCAGACAGCACGTGATTGGGTCAGACAGCACGTGATTGGGTCAGACAGCACGTGATTGGGTCAGACAGCACGTGATTGGGTCAGACAGATAGCACGTGATTGGGTCAGACAGATAGCACGTGATTGGGTCAGACAGACAGCACGTGATTGGGTCAAACAGATAGCACGTGATTGGGTCAGACAGATAGCACTTGATTGGGTCAGACAGCACGTGATTGGGTCAGACAGATAGCACGTGATTGGGTCAGACAGATAGCACGTGATTGGGTCAGACAGACAGCACGTGATTGGGTCAGACAGATAGCACGTGATTGGGTCAGACAGACAGCACGTGATTGGGTCAGACAGCACGTGATTGGGTCAGACAGATAGCACGTGATTGGGTCAGACAGATAGCACGTGATTGGGTCAGACAGATAGCACCTGATTGGGTCAGACAGATAGCACGTGATTGGGTCAGACAGATAGCACGTGATTGGGTCAGACAGACAGCACGTGATTGGGTCAGACAGATAGCACGTGATTGGGTCAGACAGACAGCACGTGATTGGGTCAGGCAGACAGCACGTGATTGGGTCAGACAGCACGTGATTGGGTCAGACAGATAGCACGTGATTGGGTCAGACAGACAGCACGTGATTGGGTCAGACAGATAGCACGTGATTGGGTCAGACAGACAGCACGTGATTGGGTCAGACAGACAGCACGTGATTGGGTCAGATAGCACGTGATTGGGTCAGACAGACAGCACGTACAACAGACAACACACCCCTGGTACAACACACCCCTGGTACAACAGACAACACACCCCTGGTACAACAGACATCACACCCCTGGTACAACAGACAACACACCCCTGGTACAACAGACATCACACCCCTGGTACAACAGACATCACACCCCTGGTACAACAGACATCACATCCCTGGTACAACAGACATCACACCCCTGGTACAACAGACATCACACCCCTGGTACAACACACCCCTGGTACAACAGACATCACACCCCTGGTACAACAGGCATCACACCCCTGGTACAACACAGCCCTGGTACAACAGACATCACACCCCTGGTACAACAGACATCACACCCCTGGTACAACAGACATCACACCCCTGGTACAACAGACATCACACCCCTGGTACAACAGACATCACACCCCTGGTACAACAGACATCACACCCCTGGTACAACAGACAACACACCCCTGGTACAACAGACAACACACCCCTGGTACAACAGACAACACACCCCTGGTACAACACACCCCTGGTACAACAGACATCACACCCCTGGTACAACAGACATCACACCCCTGGTACAACAGACATCACACCCCTGGTACAACACACCCCTGGTACAACATACATCACACCCCTGGTACAACAGACATCACACCCCTGGTACAACAGACATCACACACCTGGTACAACACACCCCTGGTACAACAGACATCACACCCCTGGTGCAACAGACATCACACCCCTGGTACAACAGACATCAGACCCCTGGTACAACAGACATCACACTCCTGGTACAACAGACAACACACCCCTGGTACAACAGACATCACACCCCTGGTACAACAGACATCACACCCCTGGTACAACAGACATCACACCCCTGGTACAACACACCCCTGGTACAACAGACATCACACCCCTGGTGCAACAGACATCACACCCCTGGTACAACATACATCACACCCCTGGTGCAACAGACATCACACCCCTGGTACAACAGACATCAGACCCCTGGTACAACAGTCATCACACTCCTGGTACAACAGACAACACACCCCTGGTACAACAGACATCACACCCCTGGTACAACAGACATCACACCCCTGGTACAACAGACATCACACCCCTGGTACAACACACCCCTGGTACAACAGACATCACACCCCTGGTACAACAGACATCACACCCCTGGTACAACACACCCCTGGTACAACATACATCACACCCCTGGTACAACATACATCACACCCCTGGTACATCACACCCCTGGTACAACAGACAACACACCCCTGGTACAACAGACATCACACCCCTGGTACAATAGACATCACACTCCTGGTACTACAGACAACACACCCCTGGTACAACAGACATCACACCCTGGTACAACAGACATCACACCCCTGGTACAACACACCCCTGGTACACCAGACAACACACCCCTGGTACATCACACCCCTGGTACAACACACCCCTGATACAACATACATCACACCCCTGGTACAACAGACATCACACCCCTGGTACAACAGACATCACACCCCTGGTACAACAGACATCACACCCCTGGTACAACATACATCACACCCCTGGTACAACACACCCCTGGTACAACAGACATCACACCCCTGGTACAACATACATCACACCCCTGGTACAACACACCCCTGGTACAACAGACAACACACCCCTGATACAACATACATCACACCCCTGGTACAACATACATCACACCCCTGGTACAACACACCCCTGGTACAACAGACATCACATCCCTGGTACAACAGACATCACACCCCTGGTACAACAGACATCACACCCCTGGTACAACACAGCCCTGGTACAACAGACATCACACCACTGGTACAACTTACCCCTGGTACAACAGACATCACACCCCTGGTACAACACACCCCTGGTACAACAGACATCACACCCCTGGTACAACAGACATCACACCCCTGGTACAACACAGCCCTGGTACAACAGACATCACACCCCTGGTACAACAGACATCACACCCCTGGTACAACAGACATCACACCCCTGGTACAACAGACATCACACCCCTGGTACAACAGACATCACACCCCTGGTACAACAGACATCACACCCCTGGTACAACAGACATCACACCCCTGGTACAACAGACATCACACCCCTGGTACAACAGACATCACACCCCTGGTACAACACACCCCTGGTACATCACACACTCGGTACAACACACCCCTGGTACAACACCTACCCTGAGTCCTATGGCCGTGTTCTCGTAGTTCACTGGCTGACAGAACAAGTTGTAGCCTCGTATCACACCAACAGCAAACATCTGGGGAGGGGAGGGGTAGAGCACATGTTGAGCTGACATGTCATTCATGTCACTAGCAATTATTTTAAATGATAGTCGATATGAAACCACAGAATCAAGAGTACAATCGGGACTAGCTGGTCAAGGTACCATCATGACTAGCTGGTCAAGGTACCATCATGGCTTGCCTGTATTGGTCAAGGTACTAACATGGCTAGCTGGTCAATGTACCATCATGGCTAGCCTGTATTAGTCAAGGTACTAACATGGCTATCTGGTCAATGAAGTGTCTTAGTGTACAGTTTGCCTGCCAAAGTTTACTAAAGGGATACGACTTTCAAATGTCACGTTGTTGTGGTGACCTTTACCCTATGAACTAACAATGTGACCCTCATTTGTATCACGTGGAGTTAGCTCTTCCCTTTAAGTTGGTGTTTTCAACTTTCACTCTCTTTTTTTTTTATTTCATCTAGTCTCAGGTTAACACATAAGTAGTTACAGCAAGCTTATGTAAGCTATTGCATCAGGCAATAAGCAGTTACATCAAAGAAAATGTAAGCTATTACCTCAAAGAAAATGTAAGCAGTTACCTCAAACAAAATGTAAGCAGTTACCTCAAAGAAAATGTAAGCAGTTACCTCAAAGAAAATATAAGCAGTTACCTCAAAGAAAATGTAAGCAGTTACCTCAAAGAAAATGTAAGCAGTTACCTCAAAAAAAATGTAAGCTATTAACTCGAAGAAAATGTAAGCAGTTACCTCAAAGAAAATGTAAACAGTTACCTCAAAGAAAATGTAAGCAGTTACCTCAAAGAAAATGTAAGCAGTTACCTCAAAAAATGTAAGCAGTTACCTCCAAGAAAATGTAAGCAGTTACCTCCAAGAAATCGTAAGCAGTTACCTCAAAGAAAATGTAAGCAGTTACCTCAAAGAAAATGTAAGCAGTTACCTCCAAGAAAATGTAAGCAGTTACCTCAAAGAAAATGTAAGCAGTTACCTCAAAGAAAATGTAAGCAGTTAACTCAAAGAAAATGTAAGCTATCACCTCAAAGAAAATGTAAGCAGTTACCACCAAGAAAATGTAAGCAGTTATCTCCAAGAAAACGTAAGCAGTTACCTCATAGAAAATGTAAGCAGTTACCTCATAGAAAATGTAAGCAGTTACCTCATAGAAAATGTAAGCAGTTACCTCATAGAAAATGTAAGCAGTTACCTCATAGAAAATGTAAGCAGTTACCTCAAAGAAAATGTAAGCAGTTACCTCAAAGAAAATGTAAGCAGGTACCTCAAAAATGTAAGCAGTTACCTCAAAGAAAATGTAAGCGGTTACCTCAACGAAAATGTAAGCAGTTATCTCAAAGAAAATGTAAGCAGTTACCTCATAGAAAATGTAAGCAGTTACCTCAAAGAAAATGTAAGCAGTTACCTCACAGAAAATGTAAACAGTTACCTCAAAGAAAATGTAAGCAGTTACCTCAAATAAAATGTAAGCAGTTACCGCAAAGAAAATGTAAGCTACTGTGTCAAAGAAAATGTAAGCTATCACCTCAAAGAAAATGTAAGCAGTTACCGCCAAGAAAATGTAAGCAGTTACCTCCAAGAAAATGTAAGCAGTTACCTCAAATAAAATGTAAGCAGTTACTTCAAAGAAAATGTAAGCAGTTACCTCCAAGAAAATGTAAGCAGTTACCTCCAAGAAATCGTAAGCAGTTACCTCAAAGAAAATGTAAGCAGTTACCTCAAAGAAAATGTAAGCAGTTACTTCCAAGAAAATGTAAGCAGTTACCTCAAAGAAAATGTAAGCAGTTACCTCAAAGAAAATGTAAGCTATCACCTCAAAGAAAATGTAAGCAGTTACCACCAAGAAAATGTAAGCAGTTATCTCCAAGAAAACGTAAGCAGTTACCTCATAGAAAATGTAAGCAGTTACCTCATAGAAAATGTAAGCAGTTACCTCATAGAAAATGTAAGCAGTTACCTCATAGAAAATGTAAGCAGTTACCTCAAATAAAATGTAAGCAGTTACCTCAAATAAAATGTAAGCAGTTACCTCAAATAAAATGTAAGCAGTTACCTCAAAGAAAATGTAAGCAGTCACCTCATAGAAAATGTAAGCAGTTACCTCAAAGAAAATGTAAGCGGAGAGGATGACCAGAGCGAAGTTGTAGACGACCAAGAGCTGGGAGAGCTGGAAGGGCGGACGTTTCTCCATGAAGGCGGGGCCGTGCTTGACCATCAGCAGGTACAGCAGGATAATGGTCAGCACGCTGGCAAGGTTGTTCATCAGGAACCACTCGGACACACGGGGGTCTGGGGGGAGAGGGGTGGTGACTAGATTAGGTGGTGACTAGGTGGTGACTAGATTTGGTGGTGGTGGCAAGGTGGTGACTAGATTAGGTGGTGACTAGGTGGTGTTAAGAATATTGGTGGTGATCAGGTGGTGACTAGAAATGTTAGTGGTGACCAGGTGGTGACTAAATTTGGTGGTGACTAAATTTGGTGGTGACCAGGTGGTGACTAGAAATGTTAGTGGTGACCAGGTGGTGACTAAATTTGGTGGTGACTAAATTTGGTGGTGACCAGGTGGTGACTAGAAATGTTAGTGGTGACCAGGTGGTGACTAAATTTGGTGGTGATCAGGTGGTGGGACGAATGTGCTGGTGGAGGCTAGAAGGTTGGTAGTGATAAGTTAGTAACAATAGTGTTGGTGGTGACTGGAAATGTTAGTGGTGATCAGGTGGTGATTAAAATGGTGACCATTTATTACCCCCATTGACGATGTTGCTGGGTGTCAAGTTAAACCGGATGTTGACAGCGGCTACGATGGCCTCCATCTTGTCTGTTGACCCGGTGAGCTGTGGGACCGGTTGCTGGACGGAATTCTGACCTTGACCTTTGGAACAAATGGAAGCAGTACCCGCATGTTAGTGTGTAGGAAAAGATTAGAACCTTCCAGATAAGGTATCTTAGGTTGACTTAGGTGACTTCAAACAAGATTACAGTAGTGATGCACCAACACGCCCATGTCTTCAAGTACACACGCACTTATATGTCATATTTGTAGGCAGGCCATTTTACCGCCTGTAACTGTTTGATGTGCTACTAGGTTGGTGTAATACAAAGTTTGTAGACATCTAAACTATGTTTTTTCCCCAGACTTTTTCTCCGGTGGGGGGGGGGGGGACGACTAAATTTTCCGGGGGGGGGAGGATAGGTTGTAAACTGTTTAAAGTATATATTTTCTATATAAATTCCTTTTCGTTCGGGGGGGGGGGGGGGAGAGATGCCTGGAAGAAAGCACAATCTAACAGTCAGTAATTGTTTAATGTGTAACGTGTATGATAGTAATAGCTGAAATGATCCATTGTTACAATGTAGCAGTTTTACTACACTGTCCACATTGGAATTAAAATCAATCGTCTAAAACTCTTGGACAGGAACATCTATTGGCCGACTTAAAATCTGTCTGAGCATTGGTAGATATGAAACACCGTCCTCATGGATAATCCGACATCACCGATAATCCGACAACACCGATAATCCGACAACAACGATAATCCGATATCACCGATAATCCGACATCACCGATAATCTGACATCACCGATAATCCGACAACACTGATAATCCGACTTCACTCAAACGTCCACATACACTCGGCACGTGCTGAAGCTTTTTGTGGTCAAACACTTGCCGCCGAGCACCTGTGGCCAACTGAACTCATTCAATTCGTTTAGCCGTACACAGCTGTCACAGGATATCACAGGTAGCAGAACGTTGTATTCCGCTGGTAATAGTTGGATCAAAGGGCAAAGGTCAAAAATGGAATATTCCGCTGGTAATAGTTGGATCAAAGTGCAGGTGTCAAAAATAGAATATTCCGCCAGGTGGATCAAAGTGCAGAGGTCAAAAATAGATATTCCGCTAGGTGGATCAGAGTGCAGAGGTCAAAAATAGAATATTCCGCCAGGTGGATCAAAGTGCAGAGGTCAAAAATAGAATATTCCGCTAGGTGGATCAAAGTGCAGAGGTCTACAAAACTTATTGAACTCCGTTAGTCATTGAAGCTTGTGTTACAACAATAGACAGCAGTCTAAAAACTGGATTGGTTGACACACTCATTATACCTGCTAATATCCACAACACACTGCCTATATCCACAACACACTGCCTATATCCACAACACACTGCCTATATCCACGACACACTGCCTATATCCACGACACACTGCCTATATCCACGACACACTGCCTATATCCACGACACACTGCCTATATCCACAACACACTGCCTATATCCACGACACACTGCCTATATCCACGACACACTGCCTATATCCACGACACACTGCCTATATCCACAACACACTGCCTATATCCACGACACACTGCCTATATCCACGACACACTGCCTATATCCACAACACACTGCCTATATCCACAACACACTGCCTATATCCACGACACACTGCCTATATCCACGACACACTGCCTATATCCACGACACACTGCCTATATCCACAACACACTGCCTATATCCACAACACACTGCCTATATCCACGACACACTCATACCTTCCAACGACAGCAGTTAACACTAACAAGCCATAACGTGGTGGTTAGAATACAAACCCAATTCTCTTAGTACTTAGCCGGCAGTGGTTAGAATACAAACCAAATTCTCTTGGTCCCAATAGTACTTAGCCGGCAGTGGTTAGAATACAAACCAAATTCTCTTGGTCCCAATAGTACTTAGCCGGCAGTGGTTAGAATACAAACCAAATTCTCTTGGTCCCAATAGTACTTAGCCGGCAAAAGTTAGAATACAAACCAAATTCTCTTGGTCCCAACAGTACTTAGCCGGCTACCGGTTACAACATGTCTAGTGCTGGCTATTCACAAACGTCTTTCTCCACAGGTAAACCATTTCAAGTTTGAAGGGCGGGGCGTGTAGGGTGGGGGGGGGGGGGGGGTCTATTGACGAATTGTTGATTTCGTTGTAAATTATGAGGACATGAGAAAAGGGCTCTAAGACATGATTCAAACAAATGAGCCGGTAGTTGGGGGAGGGGGGTGGAATGTAGACCTCAGTTCGAATTCAGTACACCCTATCTGCACGCCCCCCTCCCCCCCCCCCCCCCCCCCACCACCCACACTAACGGGACTGCCATATGACGCACCAAGGATCTTAGACAGGCTATAGAAATGTAACTGGGTGGCGAAAAAAATGTTGGGTGTGTGGCAAGTCGTGATTGTTGAATCAGAGAGCACGCAGGGTATACATGGGGGGGGGGGGGGGGGGAGTTGTCATGGTGACCCCAGAATGTCACTATAATCGACCTATTAAACAAACATGTTATGTGATATGTGAACGTTCCCTAAACACAATCATGGTATACAACATGTGAACCACCCCTAAACACCATGTGCACGACCCCTAAACACAATCATGGTATGCAAAATGTGCACGACCCCTAAACACAATCATGATGTGCACCATGTGCACGACCCTTACAAAAGTGCACGACCCCTACAAATGTGCAGCCTCAGGTAATGTTTCCAGTAGCCGAGTGAGTACTGACAGTTGTAAAATCTCGAACAAGTTGGGTCAACGTTTACACGTGTTTGACACGTGCGGGATTATCACGTGATTCACTAGGAGGCAATGATTGTGTCATGTATGACAGGGATTGTGTCATGTATGGCAGGGATTGTGTCATGTATGGCAGGGATTGTGTCATGTATGGCAGGGATTGTGCCATGTATGACAGGGAATGTGTCATGTTCCTGTGTATCGATTCCAAGCCAAACTTCTCTAATCTACCATCTATCATCTCACCAACCATCACTTGATCCACCTACCACACCAACCATCACTTGATCCACCTACCACACCAACCATCACTTGATCCACCTACCACACCAACCATCACTTGATCCACCTACCACACCAACCATCACTTGATCCACCTACCACACCAACCATCACTTGATCCACCTACCACACCAACCATCACTTGACCCACCTACCACACCAACCATCACTTGATCCACCTACCACACCAACCATCACTTGATCCACCTAGCACACCAACCATCACTTGATCCACCTACCACACCAACCATCACTTGATCCACCTAGCACACCAACCCATAGCTGATCCACCTACCACACCAACCATCACTTGATCCACCTACCACACCAACCATCACTTGATCCACCTAGCACACCAACCCATAGCTGATCCACCTACCACACCAACCATCAGTTGATCCACCTAGCACACCAACCATCAGTTGATCCACCTAGCACACCAACCCATAGCTGATCCACCTACCACACCAACCATCAGTTGATCCACCTAGCACACCAACCCATAGCTGATCCACCTACCACACCAACCATCAGTTGATCCACCTAGCACACCAACCCATAGCTGATCCACCTACCACACCAACCATCAGTTGATCCACCTAGCACACCAACCCATAGCTGATCCACCTACCACACCAACCATCAGTTGATCCACCTAGCACACCAACCCATAGCTGATCCACCTACCACACCAACCATCAGTTGATCCACCTACCACACCAACCATCAGTTGATCCACCTACCACACCAACCATCAGTTGATCCACCTAGCACACCAACCCATAGCTGATTCACCTACCACACCAACCATCTCCCCATCAATGTATCCAACCATCTCCCCATCAATGTATCCAACCATCTCCCCATCAATGTATCCAACCATCTCCCCATCCATCAACCACCAGTCTACTACACGATTGACTCCCGTATATCAATCACTACAGTCGCTATTTCTCCCCCCCCCTCCCACCCCCCCCCCCCACATACCAAGATGCAGTGATGCACACCAAACAGTCAACTTGTGTGTGTGTGTGTGTGTGTCGGGGGGGAGGGGTGATGACACGGATACCCATCTCTCTATCTACCAACACATTTGTCTATTGGTGTGAATCAGGGGCGCTAACTGATTGTTCTCCATCCACCCAGTGTGTTAGTGTCTCTATACTAAGTGGTCCTACACTTGTGACGTCCTTGACTTAATTGCTTGGTGTCACCCTGACCTTGAGTAAGACACTTTCTTGTGTCTGCTCAAGTGGGCGAGTTACAACAGATTGTTCGGCAAACCACAGCTGCTTTTGTCGTCTGCAAACCACAGCTGCTTTTGTCGTCTGCAAATCAAAGCTAGTTATGTCCCTTTCGCGTGAAAGTCAACTAACAATGGAAGAGTTAATTATGTCCCTTTACGTGTACACTTAACTATTTATAGTCATGGTCTCCCCTAAACAGTCACGGCTAATTACATCGAGTTTAAATTAATTTAATTAGTGAATTGGATGTTAAGCAATATACGTCATCACACAGCACGCAAACTTTATATAATTCACTAAACATACACACACTTGACATAATTCACTAAACATACACACACTTGACGTAATTCACTAAACATACACACACTTGACGTAATTCACTAAACATACACACACTTGACATAATTCACTAAACATGCACACTTAACTGTTAACGAAATTCTCTAATCATGCATATTCACATAATTTACTACACATGCATAATTCACATAGGCCTAATTCGCTGAACACGCATATTTCACATTATTTACTAAGATGCACGCTTTACATAATTCGCTAAACGTCACAAAATTCACGAAGTAAACACTTTAAATTTAAACAGTGATATAATATAAACAAAATACGAGTTCAATTTTTCGGTTAAAAAAACCCCGCAAACCCCTAACATTTGAATTAAGCCGGCTGTTTAACCTATAGTTTAAATTTTAAAATAGGAAAGAAGGGAAACTACTCTTACCTCTTAATTATCCAGAATTATCTTCTCCTGTCGGAAAGAGGCAACAATCAACCGGCCAAACACATTGCCGTAACTCCGTGTGTTGGGCAGTGCCGTGTTGCCGACGTGAACACAGACAGAACACGAGTCTACACCCGGTTAATCACGTGACCTACACACTCGCTGACCTGCCCAGGTTGCTAGACACGGTCGCCACGACAGTCGACAGTGTGCCGTGTGCCGTGTGCCGTGTACCGTGTACCGGATTCCCCAACTGCAACAGCACGCTACGCTCGGCCGGGCGGGCGGGCGGAACACGTGAGAGTTTGGAGGTCAAAGGTGAAAAACGTGGTTTGAATTAGGGGCGGGGCGTGGTAGGTAGTAGGTAAGTAGGCGGTCTGTTACTTTTGCTGTGGAGAGTGGCGGGACTAACATCACAGTTGACCAAGTAGGTCAGATGGTACGTCACAGCTGATTTAGTAGGTCAGATGGTACGTCACAGTTGATTATGTAGGTCAAATGGTATGTCACAGCTGACTAAGTAGGTCAAATGGTACGTCACAGCTGACTAAGTAGGTCAAACGGTACGTCACCGCTGACCAAGTAGGTCAGATGGTACGTCACAGTTGACTAAGTAGGTCAAATGGTACGTCACAGCTGACTAAGTAGGTCAGATGATACAGCTGCAGGACAGTCTGAGTAAACATCAAGACTCTCCACATTTCAACTAGACAGTTACACTATGTTCACTTAAATTTTTCAAGTAGACAAAAACAACAGGCTGTCCCCGCCCACACAACAGCCACACAGTCCCCAGCCACACAACAGCCACACAGTCCCCACCCACACAACAGCCACACAGTCCCCACCCACACAACAGCCACACAGTCCCCACCCACACAACAGCCACACAGTCCCCGCCCACACAACAGCCACACAGTCCCCGCCCACACAACAGCCACACAGTCCCCACCCACACAACAGCCACACAGTCCCCGCCCACACAACAGCCACACAGTCCCCACCCACACAACAGTCACACAGTCCCCACCCACACAACAGCCACACAGTCCCCACCCACACAACAGCCACACAGTCCCCACCCACACAACAGTCACACAGTCCCCACCCACACAACAGCCACACAGTCCCCGCCCACACAACAGCCACACAGTCCCCGCCCACACAACAGCCACACAGTCCCCGGTCTGGCGACTACAGGACGTCCCTGAGTCCACCCAGATCTGCTGGGTACCTCGCATACGTTAGGCAAAGTAAAGGACATAGTGCTGACCACACCATTCTTTTCATATACCGAGGTCAAGAAACATAAACTGTACTTCATCTACCCCATGGTAGTATGAAGGGTAACTTTAGTAATGGTGTCTACATTCTTCTACTGAATATATATATATATATATATATATATATATATATATATATATATATATATATATATATATATATATATATATATATATATATATATATACCAACCATGTCTACCTGTCCACACTGTACACCTACCTTATCTACCTCTACAGTCACCCAACAGACCTCCAATAAATCCTAACTATACAATTGACAGTTCAATAGTGCAGGTCTGATCTATGCTAGTGTGACGTCACAGCACTTTCCTTTGATAGTCTCACGTATAGGACCGACAGGTTAATGCAAGAACATTCACGTTTTTTGTGTGGCTAAGTGGCTAAATATTGGGTAGGGTGGCTAAATATTGGGTAGGGTGGCTAAATATTGGGTAGGGTGGCTAAATATTGGGTAGGGTGGCTAAATATTGGGTAGGGTGGCTAAATATTGGGTAGGGTGGCTAAATATTGGGTAGGGTGGCTAAATATTGGGTAGGGTGGCTAAATATTGGGTAGGGTGGCTAAATATTGGGTAGGGTGGCTAAAATATTTGGTAGGGTGGATAAAATATTTGCCTAAAATATTGGGTAGGGTGACTAAATATTTGGTAGGGTGGCTAAAATATTGGGTAGGGTGGCTAAATATTGGGTAGGGTGGCTAAAATATTGGGTAGTGTGGCGATATATTGGGTAGGGTGGCTAAAATATTGGGTAGTGTGGCTATATATTGGGTAGGGTGGCTAAAATATTTGCCTAAAATATTGGGTAGGGTGACTAAAATATTGGGTAGGGTGACTAAAATATTGGGTAGGGTGGCTAAAATATTGGGTAGTGTGGCTAAAATATTGGGTAGTGTGGCTAAAATATTGGGTAGGGTGGCTAAAATATTTGGCTAAAATATTGGGTAGGGTGACTAAAATATTTGGCTAAAATATTGGGTAAAGTTTTCCTTTTAAACCTGAATGTCTATGGGGCAAGTGAAGTAGAGTTCACTTGTTTCTGTGACCTCGGCATATGAATATTGGGTAGGGTGGCTAAAATATTTGGCTAAAATATTGGGTACGGTGGCTAAAATATTGGGTAGGGTGGCTAAAATATTGTGTAGGGTGGCTAAAATATTGGGTAGGGTGGCTAAAATATTGGGTAAGGTCGCTAAAATATATGGCTAAAATATTGGGTAAGGTCGCTAAAATATTTCACAGAAACAACATGGAATGACAAAATAAAAATTACACAGAAACAACATGGAATGACAAGAGACGGGGTTGATGTTTTAGTTACAGCTTAGTAAAAGATTTAGTTTTGGCAGCTTGCAATGTGATGACATTAGTCAAGATTCAGGTCTAAAGGTCAAGTTACCTGTCCCCATTATTCCAATAATTCACCTGTCCCCATTAATCCATTAGTTCACCTGTCCCCGTTAATCCATTAGTTCACCTGTCCCCGTTAATCCATTAGTTCACCTGTCTCCATTATTCCAATAATTCACCTGTCCCCATTATTCCATTAGTTCACCTGTCCCCATTATTCCATTAGTTTACCTGTCTCCATTATTCCATTAGTTCACCTGTCCTCATTATTCCATTAGTTCACCTGTCTCCATTATTCCAATAATTCACCTGTCCCCATTATTCCATTAGTTCACCTGTCCCCATTATTCCATTAGTTCACCTGTCCCCATTTATTCCATTAGTTCACCTGTCCCCATTATTCCATTAGTTCACCTGTCCCCATTATTCCATTAGTTCACCTGTCTTCATTGTTCCATTAGTTCACCTGTCCCCATTGTTCCATTAGTTCACCTGTCCAAATTATTCCATTAGTTCACCTGTCCCCATTAATCCATTAGTTCACCTGTCCCCATGAATCCATTAGTTCACCTGTCCCCATTATTCCATTAGTTCACCTGTCCCCATTATTCCATTAGTTCACCTGTCCTCATTATTACATTAGTTCACCTGTCCCCATTATTCCATTAGTTCACCTGTCCCCATGAATCCATTAGTTCACCTGTCCCCATGAATCCATTAGTTCACCTGTCCCCATGAATCCATTAGTTCACCTGTCCCCATGAATCCATTAGTTCACCTGTCCCCATGAATCCATTAGTTCACCTGTCCCCATGAATCCATTAGTTCACCTGTCCCCATGAATCCATTAGTTCACCTGTCCCCATGAATCCATTAGTTCACCTGTCCCCTTGTCTAATCTACTACAGGAAAATGGTCTGGCTGTACGCGCGATCTAATTGCCATTCGATGATGTAGGTGGTGCTTTAGGTTTTTATTGTAATTAGTGCGTCCACTTGTATACATTAACTTTAATTAGTACCTTAAATATCATACTTTTTATTCGTTTCATTAAAAGGTACAAAAAGCATTCTAATATTTTTCTGTTCATTGTGTATTACCACATTTAGCAATGATATTTACGTGATTACATTTTTAAAGGGAAATAACAAGTAATTGCACTTTTTGTGTAAAAATATTTTTATTACTTCCCTTGTATGCATATTTTTAAAAATCTTTTTTCTTTGTCTTATTACTAAAGTTTAACTTAAAGTGGTATAAGAAAAGTTTCATTATACATATGTAGCCTGTTTACATAGCACATGTATATCAACATGATGTTTATCAACATGATGTTTACCTGTAGAATAGGGATAAATATGAACACATGTTGATAGTGTTAAACATAATTTACTTTGTTTTATATATGACAACATGCGACTTTGTAAATTTGACTTGATGTGACTTTATGGGCTTGACTTGATATGACTTTGTGGGCTTGACTTGATGTGACTTTGTAGGCTTGACTTGATGTGACTTTGTGGGCTTGACTTGATGTGACTTTGTAGGCTTGACTTGATGCGACTTTGTGGGCTTGACTTGATGTGACTGTGTGGGCTTGACTTGATGTGACTTTGTGGGCGTGACTTGATGTGACTTTGTGGGCTTGACCTGATGTGACTTTGTGGGCTTGACTTGATGTGACTTTGTGGGCTTGACTTGATGTGACTTTGTGGGCTTGACTTGATGTGACTTTGTGGGCTTGACTTGATGTGACTTTGTGGGCTTGACTTGATGTGACTTTGTGGGCTTGACTTGATGTGACTTTGTGGGCTTGACCTGATGTGACTTTGTGGGCTTGACTTGATGTGACTTTGTGGGCTTGACTTGATGTGACTTTGTGGGCTTGACCTGATGTGACTTTGTGGGCTTGACTTGATGTGACTTTGTGGGCTTGACTTGATGTGACTTTGTGGGCTTGACTTGATGTGACTTTGTGGGCTTGACTTGATGTGACTTTGTGGGCTTGACTTGATGTGACTTTATGGGCTTGAAGTTACTAAAAAAACGAAAAACAAAAATTGTTATGAAAAGCTTTTAAGTAGGAAGATTGCTAGTTATGACAGTGCCATGACCTAAAATACACCTGCACAGTCAAAGACATTTGTAGCAAATTTCGGAGACTGATGGGCAAATCTAATGACTGCAGCAATGTCGTTAGCTAGCTGTGTAGTATGGCTGGATGTCATTAGCTACTATGGGCTAGATGTCATTAGCTAATATGGGCTGGATGTCATTAGTTAGTATGGCTGGATATGTTATTAGCTGGTAGATATGTCATTAGCTAGTATGGCTGGATGTCATTGCTAGTTGTGTACCATAGGTATCTTACGAGTGTAGGCTACTTGTCTAATGACTAGCCTGTGATTTTTAACGTAAACTTTAAGTTGGTTAATATTTTGTTGGTAAAATCTCAACATTTCGATGGTAAAACGTTCATATTTTGATGGTAAAATGTTAACTTTTTGAAACCGATTAAAACAACTCAATGTTTCGCATTGCTTCT